TCTAAACACCATATGTATAATGCAGGGTTATGATACATTAGTGGGGGAAAGAGGGATTCAACTATCTGGAGGGCAGAAACAGCGGGTGGCAATTGCAAGAGCCATAGTGAAGAGTCCAAAAATATTACTACTAGATGAAGCAACAAGTGCACTTGATGCTGAGTCTGAAAGAGTGGTTCAGGATGCACTTGACCGAGTGAGGGTGGATAGAACCACTATTGTGGTGGCTCATAGGTTATCCACCATAAAGGATGCGGATTTAATTGCAGTGGTTAAAAATGGAGTCATTGAAGAGAAGGGAAAGCATGACACTTTGCTGAACAAAGGTGGTCCATATGCTTCCTTAGTAGCCTTGCACATTAGTGCTTCTTCATCATAGACCCTTTTAGTTCATTGCACCAATTATCTCACCGTCTCTTAATTTTTTCTTTAAGGCATCGTTCTTGTGTAATGAAACATTCTAAACACTTGATTACCCATTTTTAATGGATTTCACGATTACACATCATTGGTGTAAATTTAACCGTGCCGATAACACCGACAAGCATCTAAACCAATGATATGATAAGCAGTATGCTGAAATGAAATCGCAAATTACAAAACAATAATAAAAACTAATACTTGAAGCAGGTGTGCACATTTTGTTAGTATCGATTGGGGAAAAATTATATAAATTTTTATCTATATCTTTCCATCATTTTAATAAATAGAGTGATAGAGGGATAAATATAAAAATAATGTTATAAAAGTTATGGATAAATAGCCCCATAAACATCCCTATAGGCAATAGTCCGAACCAGAAATCTTACCTCGTTGAACTCACTATTTTTTTCCCCTGTAAAGAAACTAGAAGCAGCCCTCCTTAAAATAATACTATATTTACCTAACAAATATTTTATATTATTTCGTAACAATGATTGTACGTACAAATATATTTATATATAATGTATGATAAGGAAAATTTGGTCCTTTTTATTATTACAATATAGATATGATTATATTTTAACAAATTAACATCGCGATCCCCAAGTTTCTGGAGTGAAAAACAGAATGTTGAGAACAGAAGATGAAAAACATATATGTATGATTAAACAAAATAGAGTTTCATTAGAAAATTTATAACATCATACAACTCTGATCCGATATATTTTAGTTATGAATTTAGTTTTAAACATATTAAAAGTATTTATAACAATTAACAAATACTTAAATATTAAAATTGACTAACCATTAATTGAATAAAGTAAACAATAAGATATGACTAAGATAACAAACAAACATCAATTACCTTTTTTTTGGTAAAACATCAATTGTTTGTATAATTTATTTTTTCTGAACATGAGTAATATTTAACTAAACTTATAAGCAAAATAGAAAATTATTAAAAAAAATTAAAATATTTAATTATGACAGTGAAAAAATCTCAATTAATTACCAATATTTCTCCTTGAGATTTTTTTTTCATCATTTCAAGTTTTGATCTTTATCATCTTTTACATTTTTTTGTTGAATCACTTTTAAGTAAACTAGAATTAAAAGACATTATATCCCTAAGTTTAACACTGATTATATCATTTAAAAATATATTTACAATTGTCTTAATCCAACTTTGAAAGGCCTCCTCTATGAGAATTGCAACAACATTATTCTCCTTCACAAAACTTATTATTAAATTGATAAGAACTCCAACTAAATTTTGGCAATCAAAAAATTTATTCCCTCCATTGGCCAAAGCCATAACTTGTTGTAGTTTCCATGATCCATATAAAAGGATTTCCCATAAACTTCAAAAACTTCAAAATCTTATTTTCTTTCTCTTTTCAAATTTATTGTACAACTTGAAGGTCATCATCTCTTGAATAGTTTTTACTGTGAGTCCATTTGAATTTAAAGTTTGAATGACGTACTCTTCAAGTGACTCATTCTTCAAAACTTCTTTATTTAAAAGAACATGTGTGTCTTTTTTCTTTTACTCTATTAGAAAACTTTAATCTCTCATTTTAATGGACATATAAGCTCACACTCGAAAGGGTCAAAAATGGTACTTCTCATATTTTTAAAACACAGAGAATAATTTTTTTCAAGCATATCTCACACTCAAAATATTTTGATTTATTTTGAGCACAAATAAAATATCTTAAATATATTTGATACATGAAGGAGTTTTAATAGCAACAACACTTTTACTTTTGACATCAAAACTTTTTCCATTACCTATGGTGACTTTGGGAATTTGGGATTGATTTAATTCCTTGTAAACTGTAGTATCATGAGTCATATGATTTGTACATCCACTGTCTATAAGTCATGTCTCTTTGCTATTGCTTATTAAATAACAAGTAGCAACAAATAAATGCTCCTCATGTTCTTCATGCTCCACAATTAGGGTTTGATGTTCCTATGGGTTTGTTTTATTTTTACTAACCTTCTTCAAATGACCAAACTGATTACAAACCATACATTTAATATTTGGCCTAAATCAACAAAAAATTTCAATATGATTGTTCTTCTTACTATGGTGATACAGTGAAAACTTATTTTTTTCAACCTTTTTTCTTTGTTAACTTCTTCCTATTTTTTTTTCCTCTTACATATGTCATAAAAGCACTTTAGTATTTTCTTCCATCCTTAAAAATATTCTTTGTTCAATGACTTGCAAAGCATTCACAAGCTTTACAATTGATATTTGAGAAAAATCTTTATTTTCTTCAAGAAATGAGATTTTGGAATCAAACCTCTCCAAAAGACACATCATGATTTTCTTCACAACTCTTTGATCAGTAAGTTTTTCACAAAGTAACTTGATTTGGGTAACAACCTTTAAAAGTTTGTTAGTAAAATCCTTGACAGATTCACTTTCTTTCATTTTTACTTCAAACTCTCTCCTTAGGTTCAACACTTGCATTCTTTTAGTTCTTTTGCTCCCTTGAAACTCCTCCTGTAGCTTATCTCATACCTCTTTTGCAGTTTCAAGAGTCAAAATCTTGATAAATACATCATCATGTAATGATGCTTAAATAATGGCAAAAAGTCTTCCTTCTTTACTTCATGATTATGACTCCTCATTTGAGTTATTGTTGGGTTTTTTGATAATGGAGGTGGATTACTTCCATCTTCTACTATAACCCACAAACTGAGTTATGAGATAAGTCCTCATTTTTGCAAACCATAAGTGATAATTTTTTGTTGCAAATATAAAAGGTGGAGGTAAAAAAACTACTTTCAAAAACCATTTTTGTGTTGGAAGGTTTTTTTTTTTTTTTTTACTTTTTTCTCTCTCACAGACCTTAAAGATCGATAAAGCTTTGATACTATATTGAAAACAAAATATGAAAAACAAATGTATATGATTAAACAAAATATAGAGGTTCGGATTAAAAAATCTGTAGCATCACACATAAAATTGGGCAAAAACTGATATGATATATTGGAGTTATGAATTCAATTTTTCACACATTGAAAATGTTTACAGAAAATATTTAAATACTAAAATTAACTAACCCCTGATTGGGTAAAACAAGCAACAAAATATAACTAAGATAACAAGCAAACATAATTTGTATATACAACTTATTTTTTTCTGAATATAAGTAACTTTTAACCAAGTTTACAAGGAAAACAAAAAACTGTAAAAACTTAAAAATATTTAATTGTGACAATGAAAAAATCTGTGGCTAACATTGAAAAAGAGGAGATGGATCAACTGTGATTAAATATTGAGTTGTTGAAGCAATAATGCGTTTGTCGATTAGTTGGGACGTTAACCTTAGCATAAGAAAAAGGGCATCAAGATATAGAGGTTAATTAAGCTGCAATATATTGCCTAGAGATGCTGCTTAGGTATTCATATACAATATCTTATTGCAAATAGATGCTGAGATCCTTGATTTGTATTCACAGGTTAATTTGGCCTAATCATAAGCGATTGCAACTCATTGGCAGCTTCTGGTGCTAGCTTTTTGTTTAATGCATGAATGAAACGGATTGATAATCTGTTTGGTGAAGTTAATTAGTCCTAACGCGATTGCATCCTCTGGTACACTGATCACAAGACCCAACCTGCTTCCATTCTTGTCAAAAATAAAATATTAGGTAATTTGAACAACAAATCTGGACGAATAATTTGAACTTCAGATTTTGTATATATTACTTCAATTTCTAATCACTAGTAATTTTTTGTATATATTACTTCAATTTCTCATCACTAGCTAGTAATAGTAGGTAATTTTAAACTGGAAAGTGAATAATCTGGGGATAATTATAGGGGTAAAATTATGCCAAAAAAAAAAAGTCATGATCAAAAAGAAGTTCCAAAAATCAGTATCTCTTTTATATAAAAGTATAAAATAGTATAAATTATAGTAATATTTTGTTCAAATAAATTTCTCTAAAAACACTTGAAGAAAAAAAAAAACGAAAAATAAAACAAACATCTCAAAAAATTATAAGACTAATAAGTTAAATTATAAAGTAATATAATATAAAATTATAATAATCAAGATAAAAAAAATTAAAAATTAATATAAATGACTAAATTAAATGTTCTATACTTCTAAAAAAAATTAAATGTTTCATAAGAAAAATTATAATAATTGATAAAGAACTTATTCCTAACTGTAATCCTTATAAAATGTTTTTCATTTATCTTAAAATTATCAAAAATGAGATTTAAAATTTTTTTAAAAAATGAAAAGTATCGGTTCAGATTGGTTGTCTAGACTAGTTTGACTGCTTCTCGCCAATTCTAAAATGCGACAATTCTTGTTAGATTGAAAGAAAATAAAAAAAAAAAAATAAAAAAAAAAAAAAAAGGGGGGATGAATAGAGTTACTCTTGAAGGAACTTAATCCCTTTTAGAAATATTAATATAATTTCCACGTGATGTTCATATCAAAAAAAAAAAAAAATAAAAAAAAAAAAAAAAGTGGGGATGAATAGAGTTACTCTTGAAGGAACTTAATCCCTTTTAGAAATATTAATATAATTTCCACGTGATGTTCATATCAAAGAACTTTTGCTGTTCCATGATGCATTTAAAATGTACATAAAGTATTATCTTTGGTAATTTTGCTTTATCAAGTGATTTACATATGAGCCTAGTTAACTTGCAACAGTTGTGCTACTGACTTTCATCAGTCTTAATAGTTCTTCCTTGATATATAGTGCTAGTTTGCCATCATTCTGAAAACGGGAAGCACTTCTACCAAAGGTTTGCTATTGTCATTTACTTTTATAAGAAAATAACAATGACAAGAACAAATGAATAAGGAAGACTTTGCTTTACTTTGATATTGAATGTGCTTTGTAATATTATTGAAAGTATACCTTGCACTTTAATTTTTTCTGGACTACTCTGGTTTCCCTGCGATTTTTTTTTTTTTTTGTCACTCTTCAATGGTCATTCCTCTCTATTGTTGAGTTTGGTTAAGTAAACTATTTTGACATCTGAAAAATTATAACTCATTTAAGTGGTGACTTTTGATGGAAAAACTAAAAGGGAGTTGCTGACTTCAACTGAGATGACAGGATCAACGAGTGATCATCCACCAGTTCAAGGTCCTGAAAGTACCCAAGAAATGGTTGGCAGGCAGCAGGATTCCAAGAAGAACAAGGTGAAGGATGAAAGCAATAGAACAGTACCCTTTTACAAACTTTTCTCTTTTGCAGACTCTTGGGATTATCTTCTGATGCTTGTTGGGACAATAAGTGCTGTTGGTAATGGAATCTCTATGCCTTTAATGACTATACTTATTGGAGATGCGGTGGATGCCTTTGGAGGAAATGTTGATAACAAACAAGTAGTAGTTCATGAAGTTTCCAAGGTAATGCCTAGCTCCCCTCATTAATAATCATTAATCAATGTTGTGAAATATCTATAGGATAAAAAGTATGAAAATAGTGGGAAGTGGAATGATTTGGAAACATAAAAACTTCAATTGTTAAGTGAAAATGTACAAATTATTGTATGATCCGGAACTGCATGTTCATGGCCTAGGCTAATCTTGGTGTGTGACGTAGCCAAATTTTATAAACTCGTTATCATAAAGTAAAACACTTGATTATATGGTTATCACCCAAAAGGTCTCTCTATCATTAAAATATTTTTGTGCTATATAAGTTGTTATTTCTTATCTTATTTTATTGATGTGGGACTTATTTGTATCTCAACAGAACCTTACAAAAATTTCTCATGAAAATGAGATGTACAATGCTCCACTTTAAATTGTCTCGCATTTCTGTTCCAACCAACTAAGTGCAAAGACTGGGGGGTTCTGATTCTGGAAAAAACTAAGTTTGAGAGGAACAATTTAGATTTGAAGTTCTCCTTATTTCCATGTCATAACACTTAAAACCTCGTTTCATGCTCAGGCGTCTCTGAAGTTTGCGTCCATTGGTGCAGGTGCCTTTCTTGCAGCATTCTTGCGTAAGCATTTCAAATTCTCTTCTGATTATGCTTACTGTATAACTAGAAATATAATTTCGCTTAATATAACATAACAAGAGTTACACATATTTGCAATCTTCCAGAGGTGTCTTGCTGGGTGATCACTGGGGAGAGACAAGCTGCAAGAATAAGAGGCTTATACCTCAAAGCAATTCTGAGGCAAGATATCAGCTTCTTTGACAATGAAACAAACAGTGGAGAGGTTGTTGGAAGGATGTCAGGTGACACAGTTCTTATTCAAGAAGCCATGGGAGAGAAGGTATAAGTGTACCACTCTTCCAAGTCCCAAATCATTACCATTTTATCCAACACTATGATGAAACAAACTTTAGAGTTAACTTTTTCTTTTCACATTCTGCGTACATCTCAGGTAGGAAAATTCATACAGCTTGTGGCATGTTTTTTGGGAGGTATAGTCATAGCATTCATCAAGGGCTGGCTTCTAACCCTTGTCCTTCTATCTTCTCTTCCGCTTCTTGTCCTCTCTGGCTCCATAATGAGCTTTTCTTTTGCAAAGATGGCATCCCAAGGACAAGCAGCTTATTCTGAAGCAGCAACTGTAGTGGAGCAGACAATTGGTTCAATACGAACTGTATACCAACCTTCTGAATGTACTTTCCATTGTTTTTCTTTTCCATGTTGCAAGAGAGCAGTATATAAAAGAGATGCATTCCTCCAATGCAGGTTGCATCATTTACAGGTGAGAAGCAAGCTATCGCTCAATACAATCAATACTTAACCAAAGCTTACAGAATTGGAGTGAAGGAGGGAGTGGTTAGTGGTCTTGGCTTCGGTTCAGTTAGATTTTTTACATACTGCACTTATGGTTTGACAATATGGTTTGGAGGGAAGATGGTATTAGATAAAGGTTATACAGGAGGACAAGTCATTAGTGTATTATTTGCAGTATTGACTAGTTCCACGTAAGTTAACTTATTCTTTACCATCTATATTGTGGATGCATCGATACAAATCTATCAACCTCTCTTTCAAGCTTGGCAAGCAAAATTGATATACTTTTCTGGCTAATTTTATTTTGCAGGCGTCTGGGGCTGGCAACTCCAAGCTTAACAGCATTTGCTGCAGGACAAGCTGCTGCCTTTAAAATGTTTGAAACAATAACAAGGCAGCCAGACATTGATTCTTATGACACTGCTGGTCGACAAGTAGATGATATATCCGGAGATATAGAACTTAGGAATGTTTGCTTTAGTTATCCTTCAAGACCTGATGAACTGATATTCAATGGATTTTCAATTTCAATATCAAGGGGCACTACTGCAGCTTTGGTGGGGCAAAGTGGGAGTGGAAAATCAACAGTTATCAGTTTAATTGAGAGATTTTATGATCCACAAGCTGGTGAAGTTCTCATTGACGGTATCAACCTCAAAGAATTTCAATTGAAATGGATCAGACAGAAAATAGGCCTTGTCAGCCAGGAACCAATTCTCTTTAATTGTAGCATTCAAGAGAATATTGCCTATGGTAAGGACGGGGCAACAGATGAAGAAATCAGAGCTGCTGCTGAACTCGCTAATGCCGCTAAATTCATAGATAAATTTCCCCATGTGAGCTCACGATTCATCTTTCATCTTTTGAAATTTGTGGTGTCTGTGTGTCGTGTGATTGTACTCAGTAAGAGGTCTTTTTATCTCATTAGTTTTGTTAAATTATGTGTTTAGGGACTTGACACAATGGTTGGAGAGCATGGAACTCAGCTCTCTGGAGGTCAAAAACAAAGAATATGTATAGCAAGAGCAATTCTAAAGGACCCGAGAATTCTGCTCCTTGACGAAGCTACAAGTGCTCTTGATGCAGAATCAGAGAGAGTGGTGCAAGAGACACTAGACAAAATTATGATAAACAGAACAACTGTCATTGTAGCTCATCGCCTAAGCACTATAAGGAGCGCTGATATCATTGCTGTTATTCATCAAGGAAAAGTAATAGAAGAAGGTAAACATTCTATGTTGCCACAGAAATGAAACTCGGTTTAAAAATCTGCTTCCAAGTCTCTCTCCCCCCACACAATTCTTCATTTTTTTCTTGACATGTACATTGCTGCATTCTTATTTCTTTCAACCGATTAGGCACACATGCTGAGCTCATTAAAGATCCTTATGGAGCTTTTAGCCAGCTCATCAGATTACAAGAAATCAAAAGGGAGTCAGAAGAGCATGATGCATATGACTCAAACAGGCCAGAAAAGTTTGAAGATTCAGAACGAAAATCAAGCCAACAGTTTTCTCTCCCTCAATCATTAAGTAAGGAGTCTTCTGGAAGAGGAAACAGTAGTCAGAACTCTTTCAGAACATCAAATGCCACTCCTACCACACTAGATCTCGCTGAAACATCAGAAAGAGGGCCTGAAGTTCTTCCTTCAGCAGCCTCACATAAACCTCAAGAAGTTTCACTTCTCCGCATTGCTTATCTTAACAAGCCTGAAATCCCAGTGTTGCTAATGGGCACTCTAGCAGCAGCAGCAACTGGGGCAATATTACCCACCATGGGGCTTCTTCTGTCCCACATGATAAATACTTTCTATGAGCCTGCTGATGAACTCCGCAAAGACTCAAGGTTTTGGTCATTAATATTTGTTGCGCTTAGTGTGGTTGCATTCATATTTTTTCCATTAAGGTCCTACCTTTTTGCTGTAGCTGGTTCTAAGTTGATCAAAAGGATCCGGCTAATGTGTTTTGAGAAAATAATTCACATGGAAATAGGATGGTTTGATATAACTGAGAATTCAAGTGGAGCACTTGGAGCAAGGCTGTCAACTGATGCAGCCTCTATTCGAACTTTGGTTGGGGATGCTCTTGGATTGCTGGTTCAAGATATTTCTACAGCAATTACAGCCTTGGTAATTGCCTTTGAGGCAAATTGGCAGCTTTCTCTCATCGTTCTTGTTTTGGTACCTCTAGTATTACTAAGTGGACAGGTACAAATGAAGTCCATGAAAGGATTCAGCACAAATGCAAAGGTTTGTGCCTTACTGATATTAAACTATCGAACTACTTAGCTTGAAACCATGTGAAAATTACTAAATTTCGGACCTAGTGCCATAGTGGGGAAAGGGTGACCGGAAACCTTGGATTAAATATTGCCTGAAGGGAGATAACTTGATTGCATGTGTATTTTGTGTTGGGGCTAGATCCAAATCCAATGGAATGGATAAGTTTTTTTTTTATGTTACTCTCTCCTGTCTCAAATATAAGCTAAAAAAAATCACGTGAATGTTAGTCTCAATTATAAGCAATTTTCAAATTATTTGACCTTATTTAATACTACTATCTCCAAAATATGGTTCATTTAATTGAGGTTTTATTTCCAAGTACTCTTTTTTCTTATTGATATCAAATTCCAATAAAGGGGAATTCAGGAAAATAGTTCTCTCGTTATTCAATTAAATGATATTAACTTTTCTTAATTAGCATAAATTAGTTTTGTTTTTTGCTTATATATGAGAACAGAAGGAGTATATATTATGTTTCGATGCTTGTGTATGTTGCATTACTCTTTTTGGCTTTCTGCATGCACTCAAATATAAACTACTTCACAGGGACGAGTCAATTGTGTTTCATCTGCAACCTCAACTCTCCATACATCTGTTTCCATATTTAATTAATACAGGTATCCATTCGACTAATGTTATTGTGCTCTATGTGATCCATAGAAACTTTATGAGGAAGCAAGTCAAGTAGCGAATGATGCAGTAAGGAATATCAGAACAGTTGCCGCTTTCTGTGCAGAAGAGAAGGTGATGGAGTTGTATCAGAAGAAATGTTTAGGACCAATCCAGACAAGTATAAGGCAAGGTTTAGTCAGCGGAACAGGTTTTGGGTTATCACTTTTCTTTCTATTCTCTGTTTATGCATGCAGTTTTTATGCTGGGGCCAGACTTGTTGAGCATGACAAAACATCAATCTCAGATGTTTTCCGTGTAAGTTATTGTCCTATCTTTGTCACCATCCCACATATGGAGCTTTTTACTTATCTTAATTATTTCTGACAAAGCATAAGCTAAATTCTAAGATAAATTAAGAAAGTGTTTTCTTTTTCTTTAAAATAAAACAACGTAGATAATTTGAGAGCTGCTATCATTGAACAATTCATTTTTCAGGTATTTTTTGCTCTCACAATGGCAGCTGTTGCAATGTCACAATCTGGCCTCATGACCCCAGCAGCAAGTAAAGCAAAAAGTTCTGTTGCTTCTGTATTTGCTATTCTTGACCAGAAATCAAGGACAGACCCCAGTGACGAGTCAGGAATGACATTGCAAGAAGTGAAGGGAGAGATTGAGTTCCACCATGTCATTTTCAAGTATCCAACCAGGCCTAATGTTCTTGTATTCCAAGCTCTTTCCTTGACCATTCATGCAGGAGAGGTAACTAATGAAATAATCTATTGGTTTGATGCATAAATCTCATCATAGGAACATGTGATTCTTTCAGACAACCTTTCTTAAGTAAGAACCTAAGAGTTTGATTATACTGATGGAAATCAGACAGTTGCTCTAGTAGGTGAAAGTGGAAGTGGAAAGTCTACAGTGATCTCATTGTTACAAAGATTTTATGAGCCAGATTCAGGTCAGATTACACTGGATGGAACAGAAATCCAAAAGCTAAAACTTAAATGGTTTAGGCAGCAGATGGGCCTGGTAAGTCAGGAGCCTGTGTTGTTTAATGACACCATCCGAGCCAATATTGCATATGGAAAAGGTGGGGATGCAACAGAAGCCGAAATTATAGCTGCAGCAGTACTGGCAAATGCCCACAAGTTTGTCAGCAGTTTGCAGCAGGTAACCTACAAACTTTTCAACAAAAAAATTATATTGCAAATTTTTTTAATAACTAGCTACCTAAGCACCACATGTATACAGGGTTATGATACATTAGTAGGGGAGAGAGGGATTCAATTATCTGGAGGGCAGAAGCAGCGGGTGGCAATTGCAAGAGCCATAGTTAAGAGTCCAAAAATATTACTACTAGATGAAGCCACAAGTGCACTTGATGCCGAGTCTGAAAGAGTGGTTCAAGATGCACTTGATCGAGTGAGGGTGGATAGAACCACTATTGTGGTGGCTCACAGGTTATCCACCATAAAGGATGCAGATTCAATTGTAGTGGTTAAAAATGGAGTTATTGCAGAGAAAGGAAAGCATGACGCTTTGCTTAACAAAGGGGGTACATATGCTTCCTTAGTAGCACTGCACATTGGTGCTTCTTCATCATAGACCCTTTTCGTTCGTTGCACCAATTATCTGATGGTTTCTTAATTTTTTTCTTAAGCATTATACCTGTCAATGTGTAATGAAACATGCTAAAGAGTCTAAACAACTTGATTACCCATTTTTAGTGGATTTCATGGCTAAACGTCCTGTCATCATAGGTGTAGTTCTTGTTGGTACTAATATGGCGTCGGGTGTAAGGTGGGTGCGTTGGGCATGGAGATCCCTGGAAGTCTCTGTCTAAATGACGCCAGGCGTGGTGATTCTACGCAGGGCATGGAGAGTCTTATAGCTCTCGGGTTGGGTTTAGGCCGGGCGCAAGCTGACCTGCGTCGGGCATGAGTATGCTTGGTGTTATAATTGAATATGATGCTTACGCATGTTTTAATGTTGAAGTTGGGTCATGTTTGTATGATATGTGATGAAAAATTGGTGCTTGATTCATATGTATGCTTGGTGATGATATATATGAATGTTTAAACATGATTTAGTCTATACTTTCATGTGAGGATGATATTGATCATGATGGTGGATTGACCATGTATGATGTATGATGCATTATTGCATGCATGTGATGTCTTATGGCATGTGTCTAGCCTAGGACTTGAGGAGAGGGAAAATGTTTTCGAACTGCAAGAGCTCACATAGAGTCTCTTGATAGTGGTGCTTGGATGAGCCACTGATTTATGCTAGAGTGGTGCTTGGATATGCCACTAATTTTGGGTAAGAGTGGTGCTTGGATAGGTCATTGGTTTGGGTGAGTCTCTTCTAAGTCCTTAGCTAGAGTTGGAGCAGGGTATGAGATTGAGGGTTATTCCCTTAACCAAGTACTGGGAAAGGTGTGTGGTTCCTTGTAGATAATCAGTGGGTGAACTCCACAAGTGACTTAGTAATGCATACCAAGGTCGTGATAAGCATGTACCTAGCTATGCTATACCTGACGGTGGAACTGGACTTCAGGTGTGTAAGTGACATCATCCGAGTAAACCCGATTGGGGATTTATATCTCGGTTTGTTGTGACTGAGCCGACACATTAGGCGTGAAAACGGTTGGAGTGGTTTCGGTAGGATGAGATGTCACTTATACTACTCTATTGTTAGGGAGATCTCCTAAGTGAATGCATGACGACGCATTAGATGATTGGTATATATTGATATCTGTCATGAGTTGTTGTTATTGCATGATTGCTATTATGATGAAGTGTATGATGTTTGACTTCATGATTGGTGAGTTGATGATTGAGTGAGATGGAAGTCCCCTGGGACATGATTGGATGAATATGTAGTATAAATTATTATTCTATACTTGTATGATTGTTATTGAACTCTAGCTTACCCATCTATTTTCATGTGAATGGACTGCAATGATCATACTGTATGTGAGAGTAGGTTAGGGTTAGGTTGGAGCTGGTTGCTGTGATCGTTGCGGGGTGTGGAGTTTTGTTCTAATGTTAGAGTTACCGTCTTGAGTAACTATCTGATTATACTTGACTATCACTAGGAGAGTATTATTATTTTGGATGACTGTATATAAATATATTAACCACCTATACATTGTTAGTGTAAAGTTTTTTGACACTAGCAACCAATTATATCATTTAATCGTGTCATGTCACTATAAATATATTTACTTTTAATAATGACATGGCACAATTAAAGAATATAATTGGTTGCTAGTGTAAAAAGACTTTACACTGGCAGTGTATAGGTGATTAACTCTATAAATATATAGTATTATATCTTGTACATAGAAAAAAAATATATTATTATTACTTTTCTATATACATGTATGTATTTGATTTTATAGTTTAATATCCTTTCTTAGTTCACTAGTATAATTAGTGTGATTTCACTGAGTATAGAGACCATGACGGGTCGTTACATTTTAACATTAGATTATTTTTATTTTAAAATAAATAAAATAATAAACGGTTGACCAAGTGTGCGCATTTCTTGCCTGTCAACATCAAGTGGTCCTTGGAGAAGCTAACGCAATTGTATGTGAGGGAAATAGTACGGTTGCACGGGGTGCCTTCCAGTATTATTTCAGATAGAGATCTGAGGTCCACTTCCAGATTTTGGCAGAGTCTACACCAAGCCTTAGGCACGAAGCTGAAGCTGAGCTCTGCTTACCATCCGCAGACGGATGGTCAGTCAGAAAGGACAATCCAGTCCTTGGAGGATTTGCTGAGGGCTTATGTGTTAGACCACTTGGGTAGTTGGGAGGAGGTCCTACCGCTAGTGGAGTTTACTTACAATAATAGCTTTCATGCTAGTATTGGGATGGCGCCGTTTGAAGCCTTGTATGGCAGGAGATGTAAGACTCCTCTATGTTGGTATCAAGATGGTGAGTCAATGGTTGTGGGACCGGAGCTGATCTTACAGACTACTGAGAAGGTGAAGATGATTCAGGAGAGGATGAAGACTGCTCAGAGTAGGCAAAAATCATATGCTGACAAGAGGCGTAAGCCTTTGGAGTTTGTTGAAGGGGAGCATGTGTTTCTGAAGGTAACTCCAACCGCTGGTGTGGGAAAAGCGCTGAGGGCAAGAAAGTTGACACCGAGGTTTATGGGTCCCTATCAGATAATACAGCGTGTGGGTCCGGTTGCTTATCGGTTGGCCCTGCCACCGTCTCTTTCAAACCTACACGATGTATTTCATGTGTCCCAGCTGAGGAAGTATGTTCATGACCTGAGTCATGTGGTGGAGTTGGACGATGTGCAAGTGAAGGAGAATCTGACTTTTGAGAAGTTGCTAGTAGCTGTGGTCGATCATAAGCTGAAGGAGCTGAGGGGAAATTCCATTGCTCTGGTAAAGGTGTTGTCAGATGTAGCGACTGGTGAGGCTACTTGGGAGGTGGAGCAGCAGTGCAGGGAGCGGTATCCGTTTCTTTTCCCAAGTAAGTCCATTTTCGGGGACGAAAACTCTTGTTGTTGGGGAGGTTGTGAGACCCCTTTTTCCTTTTCCTTTTCTATCCCCGACTCTCTTTGCTTACTCACTCTCAATTCCCTTCACTCACACTCTCTTTACTCTCTTCTTCTCACTTCACTAATTTCACTTCCGCTGTTTGGATTCAAGGTGGTGTTGTTGAGTAGGTGAATCAGAGCTCTTCTTCTTTTGTTTAGTTGCTCAAGTTGATCTTTTCCTTTCAAGCTCCATTCCTCCTCCATTTTCTTCTCCGTTCTCCTTCCTGGAAGCTCGGATTCTCGCCGCGAGGTAAGGGAAGCTAGGTCTTTGGCTGTTTGTGCTGGAAATGAGTTCATAAACTCATTGAGTGGCTGATTTACTGATGATTGATTGTTGTTTTGGATCAAATTTCGTTTTTGGGGTTTCGGGGTCTTGAGTGAAAAATTGGGTTTTTCTTTGTTTGGTGTTGCATGCTGAAAATGTTGGGGGTTTTGGGGTTATTGATGGAAATGTGGCATTTTGGCTGGGTTGCATGTGCTTGGGACATGGATTTCGTGCAGGTTTTGAAGGATTTTTGAAAGTTGGTGAGTTGTTGTTAATGATCGCGCTGAGCACTGTTCTTCGCGCCGGGCGCGCGACCACCAGGGGACTCCATTTGGCCAAGCCCTCCGGGTGCAATGATGAGTACGCCGGGCGCGTTTGAGAATGTGGGTCTCTGGATGGCCCGCGCTGGGCGTGACTTGGACCGCGCTGGGCGCGATACCAGTTGTAGCATGTTTTGGGGTTTTTGGTTCTGCGCTGAGCGCGACCCTTGTCGCGCTGGGCGTGAGACTCCTTGGGAGTCTCTGCCTTGTGCGCAATTTGATTTGCACTAGGCGCGAGACCTTGGGAGGTCTCTGCCTTCCCCGCGCTGGGCGCGGGTTTGGGCACGCCGAGCGCGTGAGACTTTTTAGAGTCTCTGCCTGGCAGGCGTTGGGCGCAATTGATATTTTGCCAGGCGCGTGTGAGCCTTGCGCTCTCTGGTTGGGTCACGCCGGGCGCGGGCACGCCTGCGCTGGGCGTGCTGGCCCCCTGGTGCTCTTTGGTTGTGCTACGGCGCAACATTTAGTATTACCTCGTCTCTCTTATTTTTTCTACAGGATAGTCCCATGTCACCAACCTCAGTTCTCGGGGCGTAACTTGAATATTTGTTAGGCAACTTCACTTAAAGCCAATTGATTTTAAGATGAAATCTCTCATAATATCAGAACTTGTAGCCTATCTTCATGGATTGCCTATTCTGGTAGGCATCATGTATTCTAGTAGACATCTGTGGAAAAGGGCTGTTGGAGAGTCCCATGTTACTTGCCTCAATTATTGAGGTGCAACTTGTATATCTGTTGGACAGTCTCATTTAATACCAATTGGTTTGAAGATGAGATCTACCAATTCCAATGATGCAGAATGCAGATAACACCCACATATATTTAAACCAATGACATGGTGAGCAGTATGCTGAAATGAAATTACAAATTACATAACAATGCCAAAAAAAAAATACTAATTCTTGAAGATTGGGAGCTTAGCTTTAAGTGTCTCTGAAATCTCATAGTAGCTTCCAATTGCACCGTACACATCCAATGGCATGTCGCATTCCAGTTAGCCATTTGGCATGATATTAAAGTGAAACAAATCTAACATCATTTTGGAAATGGTAATGATATTAAAAAGAAACAGATCGTACATCAGTTTGGAAAAAAGTTCGTCCACAGACTACAGTGAGTGCATATAGTGTGCAAATAAAAGTATATTAATTTTGCTTCAAGTTGACGATAAAGGGGGGAACCTGAGGTGAAGCTCAAATACTATGGCACACCGGTAGTGCACGCTTATTACCTGCAATGGGAGGTAGTATCATGTTACCTCAAAAATTAAATTTGCTAACATAATTTTTTAGTTTAGAGAAAAGGGTATCTGAAAATTCAATTGCTAAAAAGTAACAACCACCCACTGCTTGCATTTAGTGGAGTTTTTTCAGAGGACAAGACTCGGATGTTGCTAAGTCAATTGAAGAAATCAGATGGGATACCATCAAATGCATTGTAATCCAAGAAAGCAAACTCCAATTTGGATAATCCATTAAAATTAGGCAACATCCAACTAAGGTTGTTGAGTTGAAGACCCAAATTGTAGAGTTCTGAGAGTTGGCTAAAGTTTTGATGCAATGATCCTCTAAGATTCAGATTCTTGGCCTGAATC